TACTGCAGTATTGATCGGCTTCAGGCAATCAGGTGTTAGTATTGGACTGTTCCCGCGTTGATTGCTTGGTTGACTGTTTGAGTGCTTGCTTGATCGATTTCGAAAGCCTTGTGACGCTCATTATAGTTGTTGGCCTGTCTGCCGGCCTGCCTTCTTACGTATTAACCTGCCTGCTCTCCGGCCCATGGACTGGCTATATAAGTGACCTCTACGATAAACGCACTGCGTGATTGACTGTGTGCCTATTTACTTACTTAAAACGGGACAGCTGCTACCTTTTAAAAAAAATATGAAGCTTCTATTATCGAGTACTCAACCCTGTCCACCCGAATACCATTCGAATCGTCGACACGTTTCGTTTGAATTTCTTCATACTCTGATTCATCGCTCAACAATCGCACTGTCTATTTGCTTTCAAATCCGGGTGCCAGCTTTAATCACATTCCACTCCAGCCGATTCGACTTGTATATATCTCATTGTTCAAACAAATACACGGACACGAATTGATGGCATGGTTTATCAGTTTCCTCTTCCTCTCTCACTCGAGCAGCTGTCATTTGGATTCGTGTGTTCATGGGCGTGCATGCCTGTGTGCCTACTCACATGTGAGATCATACCGTCTATCAAGCGTGCCATATAGTCTCGCACTTATCTGTGATCTGGCGCTGCTTCTCGCTTTGAACTGTGTGCGCCCGAAAAGTTATTTTAATTTTGCAATCTCTTTATACGAATAGTGGAAGCCGGGTCCGAGTTTTCCAGGTCAAAGTACTGGAACTTCCCTCGGACCGCGTGTTGCTTCGACTGTAATTCGAACGTATTCCGGGCTCGTGCATCGTAGCTGAGGCCACCCAATGCTCGCTTGTTTGTATTTGTATAGACTTTTACGAGAACAGAATGTTCGTATTTCAGTCAAAAATTACACATCTCATCGGTAGAAGGAAAGGTACAAGTAGAATATTTAGCCTTTAAGGTTACTGAGAAATTCTGCAGAAGCGTGCTTTGGGTTTACGAGGATTCTGGCAAGATAGGAAACTGGGGAATTTCTGTACAGACTAATGCGAGAGGGTAATAATCGATAAGAAGAACGTGTAGATGTGAGAGCAGCATTTAGATAAATCGCCATGTAAATGATAGTTGGAGTCAGCGAGGATTTTTTGGGCAAATGTTTCACATACGGACAAGTGAAGTTCACACAGTATTTTAGATAGCTCATCAACGGGTATAAAAGACACACGACTGATGATCGACAAACCTCGACGAAGAATTTTGAAGTCTTTCTTTTGTAGACCAGCAAAAACCACCGGGGAACAATAAAGAAGAACGGGGAAAACACATTGAAGTGAAATGTTTTTTTGCTTGGCATTGAACTGCCTAAGTCTTCGAAGTTGCAAAGATAATCTGCGAAGTTTCTGTACAGAGTTGTAAATATGGGATGTCCACTTTAAGTTAGTGTCAATTGTAACTCCCAGATACTTCACAGAATCAACTCTAGTTAGGGGATCTGTATTTATGACAGATGAATCACGAGGATAAACAGATCGAGAAAGGGAGAAAGTGCATTCGAAGCACTTGGATAAATTAAAAGACATTCCAGAACGAGCGGAAAATTCATGAATATGCAATAGATTATTCGAGAAATGTAAAACGTCCTCAGGCACAGAAATGGTTTGGCAGAGGGCTACGTCATCAGCATGTTTAAATAACTGGGCTGGAGAACTCGCAGATAGATCACTGATGTAGGTGGAAAACAAGAACGGAGACAATACGGCACCCTGTGTTACTTCCGAATTGTTCACGAGTGGTTTAGATGTTTTCCTACCGAGCCGAGTCTGCTGAGTTCTGTTTGTGAAGTAGTCGACGAGCGACGCCAGTAGGTGCTTGGGACAGCCAAATGATTCCAGTTTACGAAGGAGGACGGAACGTGGAACAGAGTCAAAAGCTGACGAAAAATCTAAGAAAATATCTTACGGATTTCGTAGCTGCGTCTAAGGATTTGGTAACATGATGATCGAGGGAGGCAACAGCATAAAAAGTGGACCTGTTTGATTTATAAGCGAACTGGAGATGGTCTTCGGGGGTACAGAAGGAGGCAGAAAGGCGTTTGAGAATGGCACGTTCTGCCAATTTAAGACCGCATGACGTTGGAACAATGGGACGCAAACGTTTGGATAGGGTGCTGGATCTGCACGGTTTTGGAATAGGAATGATGGTGACGGGTCTCCAGCTATCGGGAATAGAATACGAACCAAGTGGTGTATTGAGGATAAAAGTTAAAGCATCCGTTAGAGCCAGGGCACCATGCTTTAGAAGGAATAAAGATAAACCGTCAGGACCAATACCAGTGGATGATTTAATTGTACGAAGGAGTTTAAATATTTCTTCTCTCGAGAACGGGGTTATGTTAGCTGCGTCTTCCGGAATCCATGAAACAGGAGGATCGCTACTCGGATGAACAAATGCCCGATTTATACTCTCAACATCCACAGTACATTCATTGGGTTTGGACTTCGCTCCACATAAGGTCAGAATTCCTTACCATAGATGTCTCCTGTTTTGGCTGCATAGGAGTTGATGCCCATAGGTTATATCGATACGTTTAATTTCTTTTTTATCAAGGTACAAATGTTGCTGACCATTGATGA